GGCCCTGAGAATTAGCTGTCCGGTGGAACGTGAAAGGGCAGACAGCAGGAACCTCTTTCTCACTAAGTTACCACCCACCACATGGGGGTGCTGAGAAGGTTTGGGAGGAAGTGATTCTACCTGGTCCTGGTCAGCTGCAGGTATATCTATTCAGAAATATGGCACAGTGAAAGAAAAACAACACACCAGGCCTACGTTTGGATCTAAAATATAATTCACTCTCTCTACAACCTGAGAAGCACTTAACCCATCAGTGCCTCAGTTTCTCCTTTAAGCAATGTAAATACCAGTCATCCATGCTAGGTATGTCTAGATACTCCTATTTCTCCCCAGGCCCCAGTCCCTAGCCAAGAAATTAAACCTGCAAGGAAGCTCTACTTCCAGGCAATGAGCCTAATTAACATCTTGCTTGCCCATCTGTTCAACTGCCCTAGAAGTAGACTTCTTGTTCCTTTTAGCTTTAAAGAAGAGGTGCCCCTTCTGTTATGCCCTGGTCCCAAGGTGTTCTCAGACTACAAGGTTCCTTGCCGCTACCATCTGCTCTATGCCCACTGCCAGTCAAACGGGGTGGGCGGTTAGCAACACATTTTATTTGTTTCCTATGTTTATTAGATTAAAATATGTGTAATGCCTTTATCTGATTGATTATAGGCATTCACTGAGTATCAGGGAGAAGAAAATTTCCTGTCCAGGGTCTCCATTATGTGCGAGTTTGCTTCCTTGCTGTTAGGGACGTAACCATAGCGTGCAGAAAGATTGATGTCAGCCTGCTGTGGCCAGAGTACCAGGAGCAGTGACTTCAACACATCTGAGAGCCGGGAGAGGTTGAGGGCAGTGCTGGGCACCTGATGCCACTCAGCTTCTGCGGAGCTGCTAATGTCACTGCACGAAACCGGACTGATACTAGCGAGAAGTCGTGTTGGAATGATGACACATCACACATAGCACTAAACTCCTTCTTGATTGGTTGATGGAGACCTTGCCAATTAAAATGGCTCAAGGGAGATTCTCTCAGACCTGATCAGATACAGTCACACAAAATATCAAAATCTCAAGGCTTTAGCAAGTAATTTCCAAGTATACACTGTACATTGTCTTCTAACACACGCGTTCAATGCTATAAATTTCCCTCTTGCACTACTTTCACTGCATTTCACTTATTTAAACTGTATTTTCATTTTCATTGAGTTTGAAATATTTTTTAAGTTCAAAATATTTTCTCTTGAGACTTCTCCTTTGAACTATGTGTTATTTAGAAGTGTATTGATTAATCTTGAAGTATTTTGAGGTTTTCCAGCTGTCTTTCTGTTACTGATTTCTACTATAATTTTATTGTTTGTGGTCTGAGAGCAAACTTGTATGACTTCTATTCTTTTGCATTAGTTAAGATGTGTTTTATGGGCCAGAATGTGGTCTATCTTGGTCAATGTTCCTTGTGAGCCTGAGAAGAATGTCTATTCTGCTGTTGTTGGATGAAGTGATCTATAGCTGTCTAGAAGATCCCGTGGATTGCACTGTTAGTTCACCTATGTCCTTTCTGATTTTCTGCCATCTTGATCTGTTAATTACTGGTAGAGGGGTGTTGAAGTCCCCAACAGTGATAGTGGATTAATGTATTTCTCCTCGCAATTCATCAGTTTTTGCCTCACATAGTTTTCTGCTCTGAAAATTGACCCCTTTTATCGTTATGTAATATCTCTCTTTATCTAGTATCAGTATTTTCTTGCTCTGATATCTGCTTTGTCTGTAATTAATATAGCTACTTCCAATTTCTTTTGTTTAAAGTTGGCAGGTAAATCTTTACTCATCTCTTTACTTTGAAGTAGACAAAGCATATAGTTGGGTTCTGTTTTTTTATCCACTCTGGCAGTCTCTATCACCTAATTGGTGATCTTGGATGTTTAAAGTGATTATTGATATAGTTGAATTAATATCTGCCACATTTGTTACTGTTTTCTATTTGTTGATCTTGTTCTTTGTTTCTTTTTTTGTCTTCCACTCTTTCTCTGTCTTTTCTAGTTTTAATTGAGCTTTTTATATGATTCCATTTTTCTCCTCTCAGCGTATAAATTATATTTCTTTTCTTATTGGTTGCTCATGAGTTTACAACATACATTTATTTTTTTTTTTTTTAAAGATTTTATTTATTTTATTTTTTCCCCCCAAAGCCCCAGTAGATAGCTGTATGCCATAGCTGCACATCCTTCCAGTTGCTGCATGTGGGACTCGGCCCCAGGATGGACGGAGAAGTGGTGCCTCGATGCACACCCGGGATCCGAACCCGGGCCACCAGCATTGCAGCGTGCGCACTTAACCACCAAGCCACAGGGCCGGCCCGTCAACATACATTTATAATTAATCCAAATCCGCTCTCAAATGACACTGTACCACTTGATGGCTAGTGACAGTATTTTATAACAGAGTATTTCCAACTCCTCCCTGCTGTCCCTTATAATGTTACAGTTAATCATTTCACTTTCTATAAGCTACAATCACTGAATACATTGTTTCTATTATTATTTTGAATAAACTGTTATCTCTTTAATGAATTAAGAATAAGAAAAGTAAAAGATTTTATTTTACCTCATTTATTCTTTCTGTAAGTCTCTCCCCTTCTTTATGTAGAACCGAATGTCTGACCTATATCATTTTCCTTCTTTCTGAAGAATTTCAAATCATTTCTTGCAAGGCAGGTCCACTAGAGACAAATTCCCTTATTTTTATTTATTTTTTTTTTGTGAGGAAGATCAGCCCTGAGCTAACATCCATGCCAATCCTCCTCATTTTGCTGAGGAAGACCGGCCCTGAGCTAACATCTATTGCCAATCCTCCTCCTTTTTTTTTTTTCCCTTTTTCTCCCCAAAGCCCCAGCAGATAGTTGTATGTCATAGTTGCACATCCTTCTAGTTGCTGCATGTGGGACGCCACCTCAGCATGGCCAGACAAGCAGTGCGTTAGTGCGCTCCCGGGATCCAAACCCAGGCCGCCAGTAGCAGAGCATGCGCACTTAACCACGATGCCACCGGGCCGGCCCCTCTCTTATGTTTTGTTCTTCTGGGAAAGTCTTTATTTCTCCTTTACTTTTAAAGAGTAATTTCTTGGATACAGAATTCCAGGTTGGTGACTTTTCTGAACTTTGTTCATCACAACAACCATACAGTTAGATAAGGGAAATATTTTTCTATGTTTTATTTATGAGGAACTGAGTTAAGTGATATATCCATCCTACAATTAATAAGCAATTTAAAACCAGAAAATGAGTGTAAAATTCCCAAGCTATGTCTGGAATCTTGCTTTTAATGCCTTGTATTAGTCCTGTTATTTATTTTATGAGGCTTTGACATCTTGAAGCCTTAGGTACCAGGAAGGGCCTGTCCTTCCCAGTGCTAGGCAACTTCTAGAGATGGTAAACAACTTGCCTGTGAGTGCACCTTCCATATGCAAAGTAACCAATCCTGAGCGCTTACCCCAAACCACCTCTTTTATCTAACTCTCACACCAAACCAATATTCCCCAGCCCCAGATCACCCTAGGGCCAGGTACCAGATGACTAGAGACTCTATAGCCCAGAGTCCACCAAAATTATCCAAACTACCTAATCTCCAGCTTGCTCAGTGCTTGGGCTACCTTGCCCATTCCTCTCCAGGGAAACCACAGTCAATGCTTTGCCCGTGCTTTCAGCTCACCCCTTCTGCCTCCTGACCAATGCTGATGCTTACCATGTGGTGCTATGTGGGATGGTGGGCCCCCTTCTCTTGAGAACTATAAGCAATAATTTCTTCTTTCAATGGTATCAACCTGCCTGTGTCTGTCATCTTACCATAGCTCATTAAAACAAAATCCCAGGTACATTTTAAAACATGCCTCTTAGTCGATATGAAACACCAAGAACTACAAAATTTGACTTTTCTCCATACAAAGTACAGGAGAATTCTATCTAAAGTGGCCACTGTTTAAGAAAGTGTGGCTTTTTTTTGGTAGATGAAGTGGATCTTGTTTTCCTCATTTTCAATTGCTGACCTTGGACTAGTTAATGATTACTTCATTAAGTAACACTTAAGGAGAGTTTGTCCTTCCATCCTTAATCTACTTAACAGATAACATGTAACAGATAGCTGAATTAATCAATTAAACATATATCTATTGTTACTTACTATTGCCAGGCACTCAGCAGTGAACAAGGCAGATACTATCCTCTTTCATGCTTATTATTTTCATTGTGATCTGGGTAAACTGCTCAGTTTTATTGAGATTTCTCTAATATACTGGAATGTGTAGGGCCTATGAAAGAATAGAATGCATTGTACCTCATTATATAATTAAACAGAATCTCCCAAATGAAATATTTAATAAGAAATATTTTTCTTAAGTTGTGACTAAGAAATTTTTTGAGGATTGTATTCTGTCTGGCAAGAAAATAAAATATATCAAATTTTACTTTAGAGAATGAATAAATTAAAAATTATATAAAACTCCCAAGTATAGCAGAGATAATTACAGTAATAATTACACTGTGCTAAAGATATTAACTTAAAAACATAATGGAATTGCTATTTTTGTCATCTCATGATATTGACTTCAATAATTCTTGGGGCCCTGGTCCCAGAGAGGGACAGATTTCTGTTCATTTTCTTTTTCTTTACCTATCGCCACATAAACTTATTCTCACGACCTGAAGTACCTTATTTTTCCCCTCCTCCATTCCTTCCACTTTATGTTAACTTCCTTCTTATATTTTATATCGTTTCATCTAAAAAATAAATTTTCTTAGTTAGATGTTTAGAGACCTTTATTACTTCAGAAAATATCTGTGCCATGTTTACAGATGTGGTGATTCCTCAGTTTGAGCCGGACTGATATTGTTCTTATTGGTATTTTTGAATAATTAGAATGAAGATCTCTAGGATTTTAGAAACTATGTAATTTCATCCCTTCACTTAAAGACAAGAATCTGACACTACGTGACTGCCCAATGTTAAGTGTTTTGTGAAGAATGATGTTGGCCCTGACATCAGTTCCCCTAGGTTAAACCCAGCATATATGGGGTTAAAAACAAAAGCACTCCTCCCCTTTTCCCTGCTCCTCTAAGTTACATTCACATGTCAATATCTGGTTTTTTTTAAACCTCTGTAGCCCAGAACTTCACAAGGCAAATAGAAGTTACAAATGGTTAAAAGCCCAGCTGTCCTCATGCTGGGCTTACACTGGAGTTTGGCTAGTTATGGGTCCTTTGAAGTTGTGTTACAGAGAAACTAATACCCAGAGAATATCAAGAAGCTGAAACTCCCAGACCCCAACTCCTTGGCTTCCTGGTGCCAGAATCCTCCCTCCATTGCGGAGGCAGACAACCAAGGACACCCACCTGTGGATTCCTCTATCTCACCACCCTCCTCCCTGTGAAAAGCCTCACAAGGCCAAAGGCAGTCTGATGGAAAGAAGCTGACCTGCAAAGCTACAGCTCATCCTCCCCTGTCTAGAACCTTGTCCCGTGGATTCCTCTTTAAAAACCCTAGCTGCTAATGCTGAGGGAGGACAGGGGGTTTTGAGGCACTGGTCTACCATGTCCTCATTTTCCTAGCAAAATTAAAAATTACTCTTTCTTTTCCTCAATCCCTTGTCATTGTGTTCATCGATTCAGCTACAGTGACAAGGCCCCAGTTTTTTGGCAACAAGAACACACAGTTTCACAAACATATATACTCAAATAGTTAAGGAATTGTAGTGCTATTTATGTGACAATTTGAGTCTTCACTAAAATGAGTTAAGTATACAGTGATTTAAATATAATTTATTAAATGTATTTATTAAATTATTTAATGTCAATAAAATATTAAATTTATATTAGAGAAGTTTGACTCAACTCCTGTGATTGTTGTGAGTTTAAATATCCTCACAGATAAGTGAAAGTCTTAGGCTAAGACAAGGCATGTGATAAGCTAGAGAGAGATGTCAAAATATGGCATGTGTTACTTTATTTTACGACCATGAATCCTTCCTTCTTCATAGGACCCAATTGTAATGGTTTCAAATCTGTCGGATAGGATACCAGCAGTCATAGAATTGTGAAAGACCAGAGAATCACGGAAGTGTTGGGTTTAGGAATCATGCATGTACCCCTCTGGCAGTTGTTCGTCTCTTTGAGATTTAAGTTCATAGACACAGAAACTTGAAAGGACTGAAGGAGAAGTTCCTAAAGGATAGCAAGCTTGGGTCCCCGTCGTGAGATCCTTTTTCTTGGATTGACCCTAGGGCTATGCTTGCTTCCCCAGCTCTTTCCTTTCAATACACACATGTGTTCCCAAACATTTTGGGTAAAGTAAAACGACAGAAATCAGTTCTGGCATGTAGTTCCTGCTTTTCTATTGCTAATATATGCACTTAGGAGATATTATTGTCCTGGTAGTTTCAACACTCAGGATTTAAGAGGAAGGAATGATTTAAAAGATATTCTTTGAAATTTTATTGTATTTTAAATAAATTCCATTTATCACTAGATCTATAAGTAGTCTTAGCTATATATGTTTATCAAGCATTTTGCACTGATTTTTCTTTTGAATCCTTGACAATGTAACATCTTCTATTTATCTACAGTTCTTTAGAGATTATACCTATGCATCTAAAATGATGATTTTCATTTTACCCTCTTGAGATATCAAATTATTTGCAATTTCACTTAAGTGTAAGAGAAAAACAACCAAAAAAATGTGCGCCTTGAGTCCTATTCCATTTATTTTTATTTAAGCGCTCTGAGTATTATAAAAACTTGTTTTCACAGTAGAGAAGGCATGTGACTATCTAAAATCATTAAATCATTATCATGATTATCATTAATATCAAAATAACAGCAAACAGGTAAATAGTATTTACTAAGGACGAGATACTGAAATAAGGGCTTTATGTGTATTAACTCATTTCATCGTCAAAATAATCCTATGAGGTAGGTATTGTCACTGAGTAGGCGCCTCAAGAAACTCAAATGTGGGTTTGAAAGCATTTCACTGTTTTTCCAAGTTGTTTTTTTCCTCTTGTATGTTAAGGAGATGCAACCACCAACCACCCTGAAACTGACCAAGCCTCACCACAAGAGCTACGCCCAAGACCTTTGCCTTATTTTTAATGCAAAGATCTCTCCAGGAGGAGCTTAGGCCTCACCATGGTAACCTGCCATGTATGTGGAAGCATGTTTTCCAACTGAGCCTCTGCAAGTGAAGACCTGCCTCTCCCTTTTGCATATTCATTTCCCATCTGAAATAAAAGTTCCTGCTTCCCTTTGTTCCAGGATGCCATAATTTTGGAAATGATTCCTCATGGCTTCCTATTTGCTGCAAATATACTTTACTTTGTGAGACAACTTCCACTGGTATAGAGTCTTATTTAACTCACCAGGAGGCAAGCCCACTTGGTTTGGTAACTGTATTGTTATTATCTCCATTCTACATATTAGAAAGCTAAGACGCAGGAACTTAAGTACCTTGCTGAAGGTCACATAACAAGGAGGCAGCAGAGCTGAGACGTGAGGCCAGACTGTCCAGTTCCGGAGACCAGACATCAGACCCTGCACGGCCTCTCATGAGCTGAAACAATAGGAGGCACTATTGAAAGCAATGGCTAAGCTGTTCAGATGAACGCTTGACTGGAATATTATGAAAAAACATCAGTAGTAACTGACATATTTTAAACAGTGATTCTTGGAGAAAATCCATTTCCACTTGTATTTTATTTTATTTTCACAGTGTAAGATTTGACCTTCAGATCATGCTCAAACTGAGCTGACAAGGTCTCTTTGGCTTAGCAGGTGAAATACAAGAAAAGGAACATTCCTGTACCAAAGTTTGCAAACAGGAAAGAGAACTAGGAGGGGTCCATCAGTGCCGAGAAAATCTGCGGAGCTAGAAACTGGACGATACTGGATTGACCGTCAGTGTGAGGGGAGCAGACCCAACCCAGCATTCGATGAAGATTAAGGGTGGTTCTTTCCAATCAGGTGCTCTGAAAGTTTCAAGTCTTGAATTCAACAAAAGGTAGTAGTGGGCTGTAGGATGGCTTTCACGACCACTAACTAATAACAACTTTATTAATGACCGTACCCACCGTAATATATGGACCAAAGCGACAGGTGACATTTCCCTCAGGCTAAACCCAGTGAACTGCATTTGAGAGACATGTTTACTGACCTCAAAGCGAAGCAGAGAATAATCTGAGGTACTTCCAGACAAGAATAATAAACAAGAGGGGAAAATGCAAATAGGTAGAAATGCTAATTAGGTTTTTCCAAGAGCAAAGTATACTCAAGTCCTTCTCTTTTAAAAGAATGTTCTATTTTGGCAACTTGAATTAAGATCGCTATTCTGACTTGCCTGCTCCTAACCAGTCTACAGGCCCCACCCTTTCCACAGAGTCCTTTGACAAAATTTCCACTAAAGGGAGAAAACAACCTGAAAACAGGCCAGTGTCAACTCCACAGGACACTTGAAGCTGACATCTATTCCAATCCTGGGGACTATAAGTTTTTTGTAAAGGGCCAAATAGTAAGTATTTTAAACTTTGAAGGCCATACGGTCTCTGTTGCAACCATTCAAATTTGCTGTCATATTAGGAAAGCTGCTATGCGTAGATCATAGATAATATGTGAATGGAGTGGTAAGGCTGTGTTAAAAAGAAATAAAAAAAAACTTTCCAAAACATGTAGGAGGCTGGATTTGGGCCATAGGCCATAGTTACCGGCCCCTGTATTTACTCCTAAGCAAAGAACAGAAATCCAAGGGTTAACATATATTTGAAGAAAATAGTGTGAAAGAAAAGTACCAAGATGCAATTGCAACAATGCAGTTAATTCACAGGAAACAGACAAGTCACGAAAAGGAAGCAGAGCTGTTGACAAACCAAAGCAGCACCCTCAGAATAACAGCCTACTAAATAAAAAAAATAATAACTAAAGAATAAGAAAGGACTGTTGTAAAATAAACATATAATGGCAACTTAAAAAAAAAAGCAATAGATAGACCGAATACTAAAATGTAAATGACCTAAATTCAACATAAACAGAAAGAAAAAAATGTATGTAATAAAAGATGGAAAATTTAAGGGACATGAAAAACAAGTACAAGAAGAATAACATCTGTCTAATTCCAGAAACACAGAGTAGAGAAATGAGAAAAGAAAATAATAAATGAAATAAAGAAAACTTCCCAGTACTAACAAATGGCAGGTCTTTATAATGACATAATTTATAAAATGCCAAACAAGAAAATTCATATGTATGCACATTGTGATGACAACACAGAGCTCCAAATATAAAAATGAAAGTCCTTAAAGCTTCCAGAGAAAGACTAAGTGAAGAGAGCAACATTTTTTTTCTCCAGAAACAATAAGAAATAGAGAACAAAACACCTGTCACAAGCAACAGTATATACTAGAAAACACTGGTGAAGTGCCTTCAATATTCTTGGGAAATAATTTTGAGGTTAGATTTCTATGCTCAGTCAAAATATTGATCAAGTCTGATGACAAGATAAATATGTTTTTGGATATTCAAAGACTCAGAATTCCTCTGCATTCCATTCACAAGTTCTTCAAATGGGATGATATTAAGGTACCTTTTTAATGTCACACACAGCACAGATAGCTAAATGTGTGTACTCTTCATATTTCTGCTTCTGATAATCCATAAAGTTGTCATTGCATTTGACTCAGCCAAAAATAGATAAACATATAATTTTACTGACAGTCTTAGATGTAGAACTAAATCTCTGGAAGGCACAGATGGTCTGCGGAGCTAAGTACAGTCCTAGTATTGTTGTCTTTACTTTTTCTGCATGCAATTAACAGCAGGGAAAATCACCACTGTGCCTGTTATAGTGTTAACCAGATGTTAACACTAGAGGGGAACATGCTAGATACCGTTTTTTTTTTTTAATTACTTGGTCATAAAATACTTTAATTTTTTTAAGCAATAAATGCTCCCACTTCTTCCTTAATCATCTACAATCTAATTCCACCAAGACACTTGATCTCTCAAATTTCATAAGATTTTCTAAGTGCTAAACCAATAGGATCTCACATTACCTGTCCTGATTTCATTGCAATCACTTGAGTTATTTCAAGCTTTTGTCTAATCTTTCCTTATTATAAACTCTCTATTGTTTCTTCTTTAAAAAATCTGAAGTCTCCTTTTTTTTAATCTCTTGCCTTGACCCTTCTTAGTTGTCTTTTCTGGTTTTCCTTCTTTAATCACCACTTAAGTTCTTAGTGCTTAGCATTTCCCACTGTGTTCTCCTAGAACAAAAGCATTTTCTGTTATAACCCAAGTGTTAATGACTCAGTTAGTCCTCATCTGTATCTTTCACCCTGGCATTTCTCTGGAGCTACAAAGATGAAATGCAGAAGACCTGCTGACATCAATCCATGGATGCCACATCAACCTCTAATTCAACATCTCTAATAAAATAAAAGTCTTAACTTACCCATCCTCTCAACTTAGGTCTGTTCCTGGATTCAGTGTCCTCTGTAAAGGTGCTTCCGCCTTTCCTGCACATGTAGCCCCGGCACATCGCCAATTGTTGGCTTATCCCTCATCTTCTTCTCCCATGACTCCACCCTTTCCTTGATTTCCCACTTCCAACCAGTTACCACCAGTTAACTGTAAGTAGAAAGATGAAAAGAGTATTCCTGAGTCATGCTTGAGGAAAAAAGAGATACTAGACTAAAAATTGTTGTTGCTTTATTTAAAATCAAATCTAGAAGGTGAGAGTAAGAACTCCATTGCTCATAATAATAGAGATATTTGGGAAGATGCTATGTAATGAGGGAGCGCACCAGGGGAGAGAGGAAATACATTAGATTAACTAACAGACGCATTGATGGAAAGCCTGATTTTCTACTGTGTCTACGAGCCATTGCCTTCCAGAATTCTCCTGGAAAAAAATCTTATTACACTGAGAAATGATAAGGGCTGATGATGTCTTCCACTGGGCCTAGGTCATAGGCCTAGGCTTCTTTTGAAAAATCTACAATATATCTGGGTTGCTTACATCTATTTCGGGGATGTCTCTGTATTCTTCCCCACTTTTCATTCCAGCTACCAGACTCCCTAGTTTAGATCCTCTTCATTAGTCTTCATCATCTGAGTTAGCAAGAGATCCTGAAAGTTTACTTATTCCTTTTCTTTTCATTTTTGCAGAGGTCATCTTAGTGAAACAGGCCAGATCATGCCACTCAAGTCCTGAAAAATATACAATGAAATAATAATTAAGTTCAAATATTTTAGTGTTTGTCAAATTTCCTACATACTGCATTCATAGTCATTCTCTTCTCCTATAAGATTCCTAGGAATCCCTAAAAGCAAATTCCACTTTTCAGATAACTGAATATTTCTTTATTAAAGCTGAAATAGGAATTTCATTGATATCTTTCTGAAAGTACACCGTCAATTTTCTGCAGTGCTAATCAAAGAAGGAAATTCTCCTCTTAGTGGGACTCTTGGTTGCAACATGAGGACTCACTGTGGTACTCCAACAGATCCTAATGTCTCCAGCAAACTAGGGCATGATGAACTTCTTTTTTGCTTACTAAACTTTTCAAACGCATGTTTAGATTTTTTATTTTCAATCTGCATGGTATAATTTTTTTCTCCTTTACATAAATGTCAGCTATTGTACTGCTGCCATGGAAATGTTTCCCTATTTCTGAATGTCTTCTTAAAATTTTCCTAGGATTTGTAAATCAGATAACTCGGCTTAGCATGTTAAAATTTTACAATGTTAAAGCTTCTTAAAATTGCCCCTACATTATCTCTTAATAGGTTCTGTGTAAAGACAAGATGAATTTGGTCTTAATGAACATTATGTCACTTTGCTAAGTATTTTCCCTTCTCAGAAAACTTTTGAATAATTCCTAATTTTCAACAGTGTCCCAGAGAGTTGTGAATGCCAGAACACCAAAGACTAAATTACTGTGACCTTTCACTGTAGTTGTGGTTTAAGTAATGACCTTAGAACAAATTCTTATGTAAATCAGTGCCAGGTACCCATCTAAGGATTTTACAAATATTAGCTAATTTAATCTTAAGCAAAATTCTATGCAGTAGATATTATTGCTATTCCCATCTTACAGTTAAGAAAACAGAGCTCTTGAGAGGTTATATAACTTGAGCTGGGTCAGATGGCTAATAAACAACAGAGATAAAATGTTTACATGCATGCTGGTACCCAGTTTGCTATATCACCCCTCTGTGTCTAAGATGTAAATTGCCTAAGATACGTAGATTAGACTTTAGACACTGTTTTGATTTTTTTTAGGTTTTTCCCCATTTCCCTCCTGCTTTAATGATGGATAACGAAATATTTGATTTGCTATAGTTTCAAGCATCTAATCACATTTTTGGTGGGGCACTGGAACATAACTTCCCTTAGCTATTTTATACAATTTTATTCTGTCTGTGCTACTTTACACAGTTATGTGTATGAAAATGTGAAAGTTAAATATTTGATCCAAAGTTTATGGAACACTTTTCTGTCTCAAACAGCTATAAATAGGTCTGTGATTACCTTGTCTGCCTTGAAAAACATCACCCATTCCCTTAGAACCTATTTGAAAAGCTTCCACGTCAAAATCAGGTACCCCTCATCTGGTCTCCCTGGCTCCTGCTCACTTAAAACCAAGGCTGCGGTGGGAGGTGAGAACCACAAGGGGGGCAACCCTCACGCACATGACACACAATGTCTGAGGTGCTGAAGCAAAAGTCAAGATGTGCAAGACAAAGAGAGCATCGTTCCCTACTTCCCAAACTTTTTCTTCATAACCTTTATGGCCACACCTGGGATATAAGCAGGGTGATTCTCTAATATCTCATCTAAACTAGACCGCATGTTTGAGAGTAAAATGAGGTTCTTTTAAAAATTACAATGGGGCAACAGATATAAATTGGCAAGTTCCCAGCTCATATATAAACTCACCCTGGAAACAGGAAAATCAACAAACATAAATATGACTACCAGAAGCTCTGTCTCAAGGTCTCATGTCTGACCAGTTGATGTGCCTTAGTTCACAGTTTAATCATTAGCCTCCAGGTGTGGCAAAACAGCCTTGCTTGAAAAACCTCATACTTTAAACATACACATACACATATCCAACAGTTTTACCTTCTTTATCTCTAATTTACATAATATAGGACAACTTTCTAACAGTTAATTTGCCATTTATTATCAGGAATGTTAATTTTACACCTTCAATGACTATTCTTAATTTGAAATTGTAATTCCATTGTTTATCTCTAATCTGTTTTTTAGAGGAATATATCTGTTAAATTTCAAATTATTTTTCAACCTCCATTTAATGTTTGCACTCAAATGAAACAACTTGGTGAGCAAAGTACCTTTAACACTTCTGTCAAGATTTAGCAACTTAATCTGCATTCCTGCTAAACCACTACTCATAGCTAAACACTTAGGTAGACTCTGACTGAGGCTTCATTGCTGGGAGCTAAATATATACTGATTAAGAGAGAAACAGCTCTGGGGCATGCTACCGAACAAATGCATCATGATTTTTACACAGACATTTGTACTAGAAAAAAGATCATGGTTCAATAAGTAAAAAACTCAAGAAGAAGATAAATGATAGAATTTATTAAAGAGGAAAGATAGTGCAGGATCTCAAATCAGTAGAGGTAAAGTAAAGATAAAAAATGTTTCAAATATGCAGATCGCTAAACGCAAATATCACATGACCTGACTTTGATACACAAGATAAAACATCACATTAAAACTATGAATAAATATCACTTGCTTCTCCATACTGAAGATCATCTTATCTGTGTTAATAGTAAGCCAGGTATCAGGCAACAGTGAGATGTGCTCAAGTCCCTTGGTCCCTCTGTGGGTCCACTCCACTCTGGTCAAGTCAAACAATTCCACTATTATTCCATTACATCTGGTCTTTGTTAGGTAGAATAAATAGAGAGGCTTGGTGGTATCATCAGAACTGGTAATGAAAATAGAAATGGCTTTAAATTATGCCATAGGAAACATATTAAAGGAAATGGTGAGGATATGAGAGTAAATAAGAGTAAAAGATTGATAAGTACAGTCATTTGGGGACAGGCGAGGAGAAATGACATTTGACTGTTTTTCTGTGGCTTTGAAGTCTCGTCCAGAGCATATTGGAAAAAGGAAAGTAAATGGATTTGGGCTCAGTGTAAACTTTATCAGTCAGAGCTGCCCAAAGGTGGGATATGGAGTTCTACGTTGCCATAGGCACTCAGAAGCATCTGCCAAGCCCGGAGAACATGCCGGTGAGCGCTGCACTGTCAGGTGGTGGGGTGGACCACAAAGCCTCCAGGTTTTCACAACCATGAGATTCTCTAGCCACTCCTCACCGTCACAGGAAGATATGGAATACAAGGAGGGGGGGAATTTTAGTGGATTTCAAAGAAATTAAATGATGAGAAAAATATGATTGTATGGAGGTAAATAAACAACAACTAACCCCCCCCCATAAATTGAGGGAGTGATCAGATAACAGTATTCGGGTGTTATGCAGCTTTAGCTGCTGAGACAAGCCGTTAGCTGTTAGTCATCTCCACACAGGGCTAAATGAAAGGAAACGGAACTTAACCTAAGGAGGAATAATTTCAAATATGTGTAAGTCAAAGCTTCTCCATATATAATATTGAATTGGCCTGTTTTAAAATAAATAATAATAACCAAGTCTGTTTTGTTAGAGATAGTTCTGTTATAGGCTTGCTATAAGAAATTGAATACTTAATATCCTTATGATACATTTATGTCTAGTTACATGTTGCCGTAATAGATACCTAAAATACAAAGAGTACCAACATAAATGGAGACGCCAAACCCAGCACAGCTTTGGAGAATCCTTGGTATGTTTACTGAAGAGTCTCTAATAACATGCCACAGTGGAGTTGATACCAAGACAGGAACTTGGCACAACATCCAAGTCGGGGAGTAGCCATCAGCTTGGCTAAAATATGTGACCCCAGGCCCCTGGAAAATATGCAAATATAGTGTTCATTCCATGAACACTGGGATATGCACAGGATAGGAAGACATGAGTTTAAATCTCTCCTATTGATTTCAAATGTATCTTGTAGTTTTCCTAAGGAAATGAATCTCCTAGAGGATAAAATGTTGGTGATGACATTTATCAAGATTCCCCAGTGTGGTTGGATCACATATTTATTTTTTGAACAGTGAGAATTCTTGTATATTTCGTGTTGCCAGAGGCCCTACCCTTCTGGGGACTTGATGAAACATTTTAGGAGAATGTGGCTGGGCATCTTGGAGCAGAGGAGAAGAGAGGCAGTCATTCCCTTCAATGAAAAGCCCTGGAGACATGTGAACTGCCGGCCCTTAAGCAAGTGAGGGGTAGGTGCACAGGGTCCACAGGCCCAGGGAGCTTCTAAAACCTGTTCTTCAGAACCTCTTTATATGAAATGTTCCAAAAATGTTTTTAAAGTAAAATAGGTTTGGAAAACTATTAAGCAAAGACAAAGTTTGATTAGAGCTTTATATGTTGAGATGCACATTTTACAGCTTCTTATAATATCAGTGTGCATGGTGAAACTCTGATGGTGGGTGGTATAATTTTCCATTTGCTACTTATTTGGGGACCAAAATCTCTTCTTATAATCCATCCTTCCTGGGGCCATATTGGTCCTATAAAAGAGCCAGGATGCCATGTAGCCCTTAAAATCATTCTTTCAAAAAAAGGAAGCCTGGAACATTAGTTTGATTTTACCAACTTTCAAATGGGGGAAAAAAATTATTAGGTTAGTGCAACAGGTCTATTTTAAAGAATATATTTCTTTTTATTTTACATATTTTTTTCAAAATCATTATTATCATTTACCTTTTTATTGCAAAAAAAATGCAGAAACAGAAAATCACACAAACAAATCTTTACCTTACTGAATTATTATAGCATGAAGACCCAAATCAAGAAACAGAGATTGGTCAGGTACCTCAGAAACAAATATACCGCTTTGTTTTCTAAATTCTTATATGTTTTACTTTTTACCGTTGTATTTATTTTCTCCTTGAAATAAGAGCTAAAATAAAGTATTGCTTCTGCTTCATATTTATTTTTATATTTATCATTACATATGCTTTGTGTATTCAGCATCCACTCACTTGCCCTCTGTCTCTGGGCCAAATCCGAATCTCCATTCAGGCTCTGAATGGAACCCAGACTGCTGAAAATGGTGCAGAATAGGCACCAACCATCTTGTCTCATCCGTCTGGAAATTCAAGATGTCACACCTCAAGTGAACTCTCAGTGCTGCCCATCTACAGTCTCCCAGTCCATTCTCCTTCCCACTCTTCAAGACTATTTTGTATTTACTCCTCTCTCTTCAAACATCCAACATCCCTGCTCCCAACCTCATTCTTTCACTTTGACAAAGAAAATTGAAGCAATCAGAGGAGACCTCCACAAGCTCTCAACACTGTACCTACTTACCCACCAGAATCTATGCCCATGCATTCTATCTTCTCTCTTGTCACTTCTTATCATTAAACGCAACGTTATTTTGCATTTCTCATCACACGTGAATTACCGGCATCATTTGACAGTGTTACATCATGTTTTCCTCGGAAAATACTCTCTTCATTTACTTCTGCAATACCAAATCATGTGGTTTTCTTCTACATTTCTGATTGATTCTTTGCTAGTTCCTCTTTCTATATGGACCTCTAAATGCTGAAGAGCTCCAGGATTCTGTCTCCACACCTCTTCTGTCTTCTATATACACTCATTCACTAGATGATCTCATTCAGGCTACGAGATTTAAATACTATGTAAATCCAATCATTCTGAATTTTCTATTCTTACATTGGACCTCAACTTTGAATTATACACCTATACTTTCAATTGCTCTCTTGACACTCACCTGGCTACTGTTACCAATCCCTCCCATCCCCCCAAATTCCCCAAATCGGCTCCTCCTGTGGTTTCCCACATCAATCAAGGTGACACTCTTTTTCCTGTTGGTTATTGTTGAGTCTTCTCTTTATGTCACAACACACCTTTGCTTTGTCAGCAAATTCTAACTCACTTGCTTTCAAATATGACCAGCATTCAGCCATATCTCACCTTAATCTGGACAAAGACACTGTCACCTCTTGCATGAATTCTTGTACAGTCACATGCCATCTAATGACGTTTCAGTCGTATATGACGGTGGTCCCGTAAGATTAGTGCCATAGAGCCTAGGTGTGTGGTAGGCTATACCATCTAAGTTTGTGTAAGTACACTCTATGATGTTCACACAATGATGAAATCACCTAACAATGCATTTCCAGAATGTATACCCATTATGAAGTCAGAGGTGACTGTAGTAAGTTCTCAAGTCACTCCTCCTTTTTCTGCCCTTGCACCCTTAAGATTTACCTTCAACGTAGTGACCATAGTGATCTTTTAAAAATATAATCCCCTCATGACTCCAGTCTGCCTAGACCACTTCAGAGGTGGACGATCTCACTCAGAAAAAAACACCAGAATCCATCCTATAATGTTCCAGGCACAACACGATCTGTCCCATTCTCAAATTTCTGACTTTGTCTCCTAATAATTCTCCTTGACACAGTCACACTGGTTTTCTTGCAGCTCCTTAAATACGTTATGCATGTGCCCACATCAGAACCTTTGCATTTATTGATCCATCTACCTTGAATGGTCTGAAAATCTTCATGGCCATTTCCTTCCCTTCCTTGCAGGCTGTAAAAAGCACTTTCTTTGTAAGCCTTCTTTGACTCCTAACTAAAATGCATTCTCATAATACTTCATGTTTTCCTTCCTGTTACTTAGTATTTACGATTACCCATTAGACTCTGTATTTACATATTTATTTTTTTATCATCCGTTATCTCACTACAGCACTTGTTGTGGGCAGGCCTTTCTGTCTATTTGGTTCACTGCTGTCTCCCCAGTGCTTAGAACATTGCCTGGCACCCAGTATATTCATGTTAGATAAAACCTTTGAAATTCTTTATTCAAAATTGAAATCTAGTTTTCTTGAACTACATGGATGCTGTAAGGAATAAATTAGATGGCTTTAAAAGCTTGCAGTTAGACAAATAAAAAGTATTGATTGTATCATGAATTTCCTACCACAGTAATTAAGGCATTCACAGAAATAAATAAAATCGAGGGAGAGAAAATTGTCTCTGGATCTAATTCAGAACCACATGTACAAATAACAATCTTTGGCAATTGAGTGGGTTGTGGAAAACCATGGACTCTAGAATAATCATGGAAGCAAATACAGTTGCTCTGCAAAAAAAAATCTCAATATGTGCATTTTCAACGGTCTCAATAATTTTGGGAGAAACAGAATTTCTTGATAAAAATTTTAATTGCATACATATACACAAGAAGAACTGTTATTTATAAATTGATCAGGTACTGGTTCTAAACTAAATGCTAGAGTTCAGTTATAGAGTTTAGATATAAAAATAAGAGGATCTGAGAATGTTGTATTTGGGCAAGTTGTTTTGCAATACAAAGAAAATAGACAAACATTTTCATATATGGGAAACCACATCACATATATTTACCCAAAATGAAAGAAGAGGAGGAGGAGGAGAAGAAAAATCCAGCTCTCTAAAAGATGAAAGAAAATTAAAATCCAAAAATAAAAATACAAGAAAGAAAACTGATGGTGCACTCAAATGTTGGACTACCTTCTAGCGCTGTCAACACCCATGCCAACTTTCAAGAGAGACCTGAAGACATCCACCCTTTCAGTAAGCTTCACCTGACTGAACTACTACCTCACATCAAAGGGCTGACGTTTCATACAGCTGATAGTGATTAATCACTCCTCACAATGGGTGAAAACCATGTAGTAGGACACAAGAAATTCTTTGGGTAAAAATTCCTTTTTAGGCAGGCTTTGATAACTTGTTAAAAAGTCTAAGCGAGGAAAATTATAATAATGGAGGTAAAATAGCTCAAGGAAAAAATATTAGAACAAAATGTTACAACAGGCTCAAGGGCTCTGCTTGACTGGTGGCCCCATGTTTATTTTAATTTTTAATCCAATTTATTTAGTTTCCAAATTCTTTTAATGACCACATATTCCTGCCTTAATTAAAAAATGTTTTTAATGAAAAAGGTTACCTTTTATAAAAATAAAATATAAAAATAAAAATAGTAGGTTGAGTCAGAATTCAAACTGTTATTTTTGAGTGCTATGGTATTTATCAGCTATGAAAAAGAAATAAAACAACGCAAAGTGAAAACAGTGAGAAGTAAACTGTAATTTTATTTAAGAAAAAGGTAAAGAAGATTAAAAAACTGTTAAATGGAAAGAATGGAAAGAGCATATGTGGTGTCCAAGGTAAATAGGCAGAGAAGTTGTCTTAGTCAGTTTGGGCTGCTATAATAGAATACCATAGACAGAATGGCTTAAACAACAAACATTTATTTCTCACACTTCTGGACGCTGGAAGTCCAAGATCAAGGAGCCAGCAGATCCTATGTCTGGTGAAAACCCTCTTCCTGGATTGCACACGGCCATCTCCTCCTTGTATCTTCACATGGCCAAGAGAAGAGAGAGGGGGACAAGCTCTCTTGTGTCTCTTCTTATAAGGACACTAATTCCATCATGAGGGCTCCACTTTCATGACCTAATTACTTTCCAAAGGCCCACCTCCTAAGACCATTCCATTGGAATTAGAGTTTCAACATATGAATTTTGTGGGGACAAAAACATACAGTCCATAACATTCCTCCCTTGACCCCTCAAAATTTATGCCCTTCTCACATGCAAAATACATTCATTCCATCCTAACAGCCCCCAAAATTTTAACTCATTCCAGCATCAACTCTAAAGTCTAAAGTCCAAAGTCTCATCTAAATGTCATCTAAATCAGATTTGGGTGAGACTTGAAGTATAGTCCATCCTGAGACAAAATTCCTCTCCAGCTGTGAACCTGTGAAACCAAACAAGTGATGTGCTTATAAAATACAATGATGGGACAGGCAAAGGATATATATTCCCATTTCAAATGGGAGAAATAAGAGAGAAGGAAGGGATGATGGGTCCCAAGCATGTCCAAAACCTAGCAAAGTAAATCCCATGAGATTTTCAGGCTTGAGAATAACCCTCTTCAGCTCAATGCTCTGCTCCCCAGGCCCTCTGGGGTAGCAACATTACCTCCAGGGCTCAGCTGAATGCTGCCCACTCTATGGCTCTCTTGAGCGGGGCTTTCCCTCCAAGGGCTCTACTGGGCAGGCCCACCTTCATGGCTTATGTTGAAGATTGCATGCCTGGTTGAAACCTAGGTGGTGGCCCTGATGATCCCTGAATTGCCCTCAGGGCCATTCTTCCATTTTCTTGAAGAAAGCACAAGTTCCATGTGGACTAGCTTTATCATCCTATCCTGTAGAACGTCCTAAGAATCCTAAGAAGTCCAACAACCTGCCTTCATTCAATCCTGTCTCCTTCCTCTTTAGTTTGAGCTGGCAGTTTTTCTGCTGGGGTGACTGATTAAGTCCCTGGTTCACATGCATATTACTCTCCTTATCAAATGTTTGCTGGGCCACACTTCTAATGCTCTCTTCAGAACATGCTTTCTCATTTTTTACAAAATGGATAGGCTGAGAATTTTCCACGTCTTTAAATTCTGGTTCCTTTTTCCTTAACCATTCCATTTTTCAATTCATTTCTGTCTTCTTGCATTTTACTATAAGTAGTCAGGAGGAACCAAGTGAATTTTTCAACACTTGGCTTAGAAATCTCCTCAGCTAAATATCCAACTTCATCTCTCTCAAGTTCTACCCTCCACAAAATACCACAACACAAACACAATTCAGCCAAGTTCTTTTCCACTGTATAACAAGGATGATTTTCTGTCCATTGTCCAAAAACACATTCCTCATTTCCATCTGAGACCTCATGCCCATGTTTCTATAAACATTTTGTACATGATTATTTACCTATTCTCTAAGAAGATGGAGGCTTTCTCTCCAGCTCTCCTTTCTTTCTAGCCTTCACCAGAATCACCTTAAAAAGTCCTTAATAGCAATGCTGGCTTTATCTAGCATGCACCTCAAAACTCTTCCAGCATCTATCCACTACCCGGTTCAAAAGCCACTTCCACATTTTTAGGTATTTGTTACAGTAGCAGCCCACTTCTCAGTACCAATTTCTGTCTTAGTTCAGGCTGCTGTAACAGGACACCATAGACTGGGTGGTTTGAAAAACAAACATTTATTTCTCACAGTGGTAAAGGATGGAAAGTCCAATAACAAGGTGCTAGAAGATCTGGTATCTGGTGAGAAACTGCTTCCTGGTTTGCAGACAGCTATCTCCTTATGTCCTCACACGGCCAAGTGCGGAGAGAGAGGAAGTGAGCTACTTGTAAGGGCATTAATCCCATCAGGAGGGCTCCACTCTCATGACCTAATCACCTCCCAAGGAACCCACTTTCAAACACCTTTCCACTGGAGTTAGGGTTTTAGTATATGAATTGGGGAGTGGGGGCAGCATTAATGTGCAGTCTGTAATAGTTTAATTCCATCTATGTCACTATCTAGGAGAGTTGAAGCGTTTATGTATCACTCAGACATTCACATACCTATCACCTGAGGTAAAAGTGTTAAATGCTTACTCTCCTATACAGACGATGCTAAAGACGCTGATTATGTTATTTTGTTACAATAATGATTTTCAACCCTGGCTGTACTCTGAAATTCCCTGTGGTGCATCTAAAAAATGCAAGCTTAAAAGCATAACTCCAAATCTATTAATTTTAGTTTCTTAGGATGGAGTCTATTCATATACTTTTTTCAAAGCTCCGTGAGAAATTATGGCACACCAAAAAAGGTTAAGAAAATAGCAACAACAGTAGAATAAAGTTTTCTTATCAGAAGTTATATATACGCGAATTG